GGCCTCAGTGATAAGTCAGAACTGTCGACCACAGGGCTTCTGGCGGGTGGCATGTGGATTGACAATCGAAAATCTAAATTTTATTTCTTTCAGTTCACGGTGGTTGATAACGCGATCGATTCCGCAGCGATGCCACGACGCTGAGTTTCGTTAGCACATTTGATATTTAGTCTGAAAAATACTGTCGGTCTTGCCAGCTTGCGCTCTAGTAAAACAAATCAGCAGGCTTACCCACAGGGCGTCCTAGTCTGCTCGTGATCCCTTCATTTGCTGTTGCCTTGACTATGCTGGGCAAGGCATGGAAAACCGTATTTTCATTTACAGAAAACACTGCGACCGTGATATCGGCTCAAGGCATGTGTTAGTCTCGCTGCCCTGGGACTAGAGAGGGCCTTTTGCTATTACTGTAACTGTATGCGAAAAGCGCTAGATGGAAACTCTGTATTATGCTAGTTATTTCGCCCAATATCCTTACTAGTCGACTGGATTCAGCTAAGCCACTGGAACCTGGACAGAAAGAGAAAGAGTGAGATCGGTCCAGCGTGAGTTAAGCATTAGATTCTTTTTCTTGGGATCGACCTATACGAACATTTAATGGCCACCCGGCAGCGGTATCCCTTGTCTTTCATGTTTTCACATACAGCAAATTACTACCACTGATTCAATTGGGACGGAGCTAAAGTGATCGCCACGACTAACACCAAACAAGTGCAAGAATTCCTCGAGGCTCGGCACTGTGGCACAAAAACATTAACTCCTATATCGATCTGCATGCGCACTACGAAGTTCTACGTACAATTATTTATCCGTGCTCAAAAAGTAGAACTTCACTGATTTTACACTCTTCCCCCGTAAGCGAAACACAATAAAAAGACTAACACCTCTCCCCTTAGCTGCGGCATCTTATGGAACACGATTCCCATCCTCTCTATGGACGTCAGTCTGTCCATGTAAGCTCTGTGCCCCCAAATCCTCTAATCTTAACTCCCACTTCTGACGACGGGTTAATGTAGCGGGCTTAAAATGTCACGAGTACAACTCAATTGCTCCGACGAGCCTTCTGTCTTCATTACATCCCCTCAAAATGCACAATACCACAGTTATTTAAGAGGAGTGTCAAAAATTATTTTCAAGTTCTCTTCGGGATAGTACATAATTTTGACTGGCCTAGATAAATTAGGGTACCTTTGTTGACATATTATCCAGGGCTTGCTTTTACTTTACCTGTTGTCCAAAATGGTTGAGATGAAACTTGCTTTTTTTCGTCCTCACAACCAGGTTGGTGGAGCCGCTGGAACGGGCGACGGTGATGTGATGATGCGCTTTCTACTGAGTTTCCGTGCCGTGGAACTGATGAGACAGGGCAAGAATGCCACTGAGGCCTGTCAACAGAGTCTTGCAGCTGTCAGAGAGGTGAGCGAAGGATTTTGACATGCATGTGTTTACCTTGTAAATCATCTCCATACTTTATTAAGGACACTGCGATCTCTAGGATTATTCCCGCGATAACAATTTGGTGTATTCTAGACGATATCCGGTTATTAACATTCGAAGTTCTACAGGAATAAAGTCGCAATAAATCTTAAACCGTCAGATGTCGTGAAGGTCATACTGCCCTCGCCACAGCTAAGTAGAACTATGATACATTTTTCATAACTAGATATATAAAAATGCATCGACCGACAGGTATGAGCGGCAACTGGAGTCCAAACATCCCGTAACTCGCGGTTCACGGGCCGGAAGAATGTCTTAAATCTGCCCAAAATTCCTGCCTTGAGTGTCCTTACCCTATTTGCTCTTTCATCACTTTCTTTGAGATTTCGAATTTGGTGACACCCAAAATGAAACATGAATGGAATGTCTGAAATTCCAAAAAATCTCCCTCCGTAGGGATGACTTAATTGGCTCTTTATATAGAAAAAAAACAGGTCTCACTCGCAAAACACGTATCCACACCAAATCTCAGGGAAATAAGTTAAGATTTATGCTGACGGTTATGAGTAAATTTAGGTTTAATTTAAAGATTTGGGGTACAGCAAGCGTTAAGGTAAGTTTGGATAATGTTTAGTAAGGGTTAGTATCAACTGTAGGATTAGGGTTTAAGGTAGGCTTAGGGTTATGAGAAGGCGTATGCTATGTTTAGGAGACGGAAATATTTAAATTCCTGGAATTCAGAAGATGCGTATGGCTACCTGTACTAATTGGGCAGGACGTTCTTATTCCCGTGTTCTGTTTAAGGGGCCATATAAGGAAGTCGTAACGCAACGCTAAAGCGGGACAAAATCACACTAGAGTGGAACCTCGTTTAACGAGTTTTATCCGTCCCAGCACCGAGCTCATCACGTGAAACGCTCGCCTTGCGAAACGTAGCCAATCAAACTGTATCAGTTCACTGATTGGCTGCAGGCGAGCGAGTAGCCATGCCCTGGGCGAAAGACGACGGCGGACACAGGCACACAAACATGCACTGACAACTCGTTAATTGACGGAAAGCTCGTCAATCGAAACAAATTTTCTGCGAGTGGCTCACTTATTACCTGAAATGTTCGCAGATAGAGCTGCTCGTCACCCGAGGCTCCACTGTACTGAGTAAGAAGCCAGAAAATAGGAAAAGTTGGCCATCGTTAGATTAACAGAAAATAATACTGCTGCGAATTAACCGCTTGGTGAACTGGTACATATTAAAACACTCCAGA